TCGTGTTCGTTATCTTTACGTTCCTATATAAATAGACCCTAATGAGATGGAACGGTAAAGAAGACAAGTAGAATAGAAACAAAGAGACGAAAAAATCAACTTGATCCAGCGGGGATGATGAGTAAGTATCTATTAATGACACCAACCATAAAATGAGATGATTAAGACAGATACAGAAATAATGACCACAAAATCACGCAAAGCAGCGTGTACTCAGCAGAGCGAGCTTTATAACATCTGAAAGACATTAATAACATTCTAAGATCTGCACAGTGCACTGTCCTTACGAGTACAAACGAGGCTTTGCATACTGAGTAATGACACTTATCTTGCGAGGAAAACCGTATCAAATAAGAATTTCCGTTTCGTTCTCAATATTTACACTACTTCCAACTTATCAAATCAAAATCCCTGTTACTGAGAACGCGTTTCAGGGATTTCGACATGGCGTTTGACAATTTATAAAGGCTACATTAAAAACTACACTAAAACAAAGGAACTCGATATCTCATGAAGGTTATTTTAACAGAAAATCACATTAAAGTAACATCGGTACGTGAGGAGAAAACTTAATTACTTCCTTTTTATAATGAAAGATATAAATAAATTAAACCTCGGGGAAGTTATCCATCGTAACATCCTTCAGTGCCCATCAGCGTCACGGTCAAAGAAAAGATTGAATCAACAGAGTGAATAAATTCCACCTAGGATAAAACACTACGTGAAACATAAAGCGAGATGGTCATCTCCTGACGGCTTTCAGTCCACTGCATCAGACTCAAGCACGGGGCAAACGAGAAGCGAAACGAAGCTTGGCGTTCAGAATTTACCGGAAAGGCGTGAGGATCACGCGGTGTTCTGCTATTACACTACAATACCGTTAAAAAAGTGTATTTTAGTTTGATAGTACCCGGGATAGCTCAGTCAGTAAGTGACTAGCTACGGGCTGGACGGCCGGGGTTCGATCCCCGACGGGGGCAGAGGATTTTTCCTCTAGCCTCTGCGTCCAGACCGGCTCTGGAGCCCACCCAGCCTCCTCTACAATGGGTACCGGGGTCCTTTCCCGGGGGTAAACCGGCCGGGGCGTGTCGCTGACCACTCACCCCCATCTAGTGCCGAGGTCAAGGAAGAGAGGAGCTATACCTCCTCTCCCCCCAAGCGCCTACATGGCGTATAGTGGGACAAACTTTACTTACTTTACTTTACGTATTATCATCAGTCTAGTTCCTCCCTCCCCAGATACTAAGTAAACGTAAAAAGGACGTTTTACGTCATGAAGTTTCCTCCAGTTGTTTCATCTTACTTATATCAAAATATTCTTCTAAACACTTTCTTCCCAAACGCCATAAATTCATAATTTTGACTTACACTAAGGGGCAAAATATCTGGACCAGATGACGGAACGATATTCCGCACAGACTGGCAGAACGAATCGCTGCTAAAAATTTGTTTCTGGTTTGTTTACGCGGTGGTTGTTTTAGCACATCAGTTTAAATGCTGTTTCATCTTATTTATTACTATTCCGGTGATTGGACGACTGTCCTGTCCACTTAACAAATTTGAAACAACTGGCGGATTTCCATGATACGTGACAGATGCGCCGAGGTGTTGGTCATGAAAGTTCTTCGTCCTGTAACCTTCTCCTTCTGTTACATCATATAATTTACACGCGAAAAACTTCTGTATTACATATATATATATATATACTTTTTTGAAAAGGGGGTGGGGGTCGGAGTCAGCGTGGTGCCAGATGACTCATTCCACTTGCACAAGAAACCTGACTTGGTAGTGAAAAATGGTAATCAAGTAGGTTAAACTAGAAAGAGAAGGAAGGATCTGCATGGAGGGAGGGGAGGGGTAGAACTGGTGAAAGTGGATGACTTATCAGTAAAAGGAAAATTTGATAAAAGCTAAAAATTACTTTTGCAGTTCAGTTTTTAAAGCTGAGCCCCCCCCCCCAAATAGTCGCACGTGGCACTCACACATTTTTGTAATATTTTATAATCGGTGTTAAGCACCTCAGTAATGACTAGTTTTGTTAAATAGTATTAAAATATATTAAAATTGTCCGTCAATCACAATAAAGTAATATAAGATAATTAGATGGCTCTATGAAAGCCGAAACATGTCGAGAATGTTCCATATGTAACTCGAGTACTCGATACGGAACAAAGGATAATATTTTAACCATCTAATTATCTTATATTACGTTATTGTGATTGACGGACAATTTTAATATATTTTAATACTATTTAAATAAAATCACAATATGACGCACCTACAATATCTTAGTTTTGTTAAATAAAATTGTTGAGCAGTAATGAAACCTATAAATTGGGCACGTTATCCGACCGACACATATTTTGGACAAAGACACTGTCGTGCACGTATAACCGGGCGACCAGTTATTCAAAACGGAAAACATGGCTCTGGGTCTTAAAAAGGTTCAGACCTGCAGTGCCAGAGTACGGGAGCAGACGGCCAAAATGAAAAGGTGTACAACGCAAGTATTAGCGAGCGATTTCTTAAATAGGCTGTATAAATACATAATTCAAGGTCTATATTTAGAGAAAGTAAAGTATTTATGAGTTCAAGACTCCCGCCAAAACGCGATAGATGTCTCAACAAGTTTTACTTGAGAATAGAGATCTGACGATAAAGGGTCCAGCAACTAGGTAAACAGCTAAGTACAGCTGAAGCAAACATGCTTACAACCCGGGATAAGTTTACTCAAATAAAGTGTAGTTTTTCTTAAAACAAGTTTGCAGAGCACGTCCCATCCCAAGACACAGTACCAGAAGTTCCTGCAGTGACCAACTAACTTCAAAACTCGATGGTGTAGGCAAGGTTGTCCCACGTATTTTTAACCTCAGCATATACAGAAATTAAAGGTTAGGTTCACGCTCCAGCCGCTTTATCACCAATGAACTAACCCGAGCATCCACTGGACTAGCTCCGGGGTCGGTCTGGACTTTGTGGCGAAAACAAAGATCTTTAACCGCCGAGAATTAAACCCTCGTCGTCATACCAGTATCCTACTCACTACAATTTTTCACTTTTATGAAACATTTACGTTCATTACCAAGCTCACAAGAGCTAGTCACTGGTTCTCATCCTAAACCGGCTGTTTAATTTTAATTTTAATATTAACATTCCATCTACGTCATGATCTTCTAAATGATCTCTTCCCTTCATAAGTTACGACTAATCCTTTGTGTGCATTCCTCAAGTCCTCGGCGCGTGCTGTATAGGATGCCTTTGCAGCGTCGATATTTTTCATATTTAATTTCACTTGTTACATTGCGCACTTTTTCACCATCGCCATCTTTGTACTTGTTTGTCTCTTTCATATCACTACATGTTCTTAAAATGTAGTCAATCTGCGAAATTTTATCCTTCATAAATCACACGACCACACTTCCGGCAACCGTTCTCGCAATAATTCAAACCATTACTCACAAGAGAAACAAATGGACAGGTTCAACGACTGAATCGGTGAACCAAAACAACTTCAGAGTCGCACTAGTACAAGAAATTGGCCTCAGAGAAACTGAGTTTAAACATGTTAACGTCAATGTGATATACATGTCTTTTCAGAGGGATGGATTGTTTAAAATTCAGTTTAGTGTCTCCACAGCATGTGAACTGCTTCGTTCCCACTCCTCAAGACCATTTGCACTTGTAGGATTTGTTTTACAACACAACAGAACTATAACCACTTTCTCAATCTTCATCCTGAAGGTAACTTTAATATTTATTGTTACGCGTAATCAAACCCTGATTACCCAAATCGAAGTCAATCACATTACTGAGCTATTACACTTCTAAAAGCTGCCTAATGATGACAGAACTTGAGAAATAAAATATTTCAGTTCGCATTGCATCTTTGCAGAGAACTTGAGACCGCCACGGTAGTCTAGCGGTTCGAACGCTGGCCTTGTAATCCTGGGGTCTCGGGTTCGATTCCCGGCGGTGCCCGAATTTATAACTTGTGTTGGGCAAGGCCGTGGTCTAGGCAACACGGAGTTTTCCTCCGGGGGCTTCCCCGGTTTCTCCGGGGCATCCCAACAATTACTCCATTCACACACAGAAGAAGGCAATGGCAAACCACCTCTGGATCATCTGCCAAGAACGTATATGAACAGATCCCAGTCCGAGAGAAGGATGGTTCCCCGGTTTCTCTGTGGCATCCCAACAATTACTCCATTCACACTCACACAGAAGAAGGCAATGGCAAACCCCTTCTGGATCATCTGCCAAGAACGTATATGAACAGGTCCCAGTCCGAGAAAAGGATGGAAGGATCCTGTTCATATGGACCTGTCGTCAGACAGAACACTAAATAATAAAAATAAGAGAACTTGATCAGTGACGCATACCACACATAACAAAATCACAAACAGCGTCATACCGAATATAAAAAGATGCGACCGGTGACAGCCAGGACGTGCGAGTATTTCAACCTGATCTCTGTGGCTTGCGGTTCAAACTCCGATTTGATTACACGGCGCTGTCCGTCTGGCGCCATTAGATCGTTGTGTTGACTGCGCTACGCGTGCCAGGACACGCCCTGTTCATTCAGCAGGCTTTAAATATTTATGTGTGTAGTGGTCTAATACCAGTGGCAGTTCAATGCCATGGCAGATGCATTCTGAAATGGCCTGCAGTCTACATATAATAAATCACTGTCGAAAACGGAAGGTTTGTTACGAAGTCGCGTTATGTTAAACTATAACTTTGTAGTTTTATAATTCAGACCTGGGAAAAAGTCTAAAAGAGCAATTTTACATACAATAAATCATGTCTGAATAATTTCACGCACTAAAATATTTACAGCAAAATTAGTTATTAAGATTTGCGACCAATTGTCTCAAACTCATGAACGTACTACCATGAACATAATAAACTGCATCTGTAATTCAATGAGGATAGGCTACTACTCGTATTTCTAATTTTATCCACTCACATTGCAAAACCATGAACAGCCGAAGTAATCGGGACGAGAAGGCGTGTCACAACCATCAACGTATGCCAATGGATTAATGCAAAGGACGCATACCAGATCTTAAACCTGATTCTGTACAGCTTCAGCTCAACAGACAAACTGCATTAACGCACTCAGGCATAAAGGAATTAATTATACGGAAGTTAACTAATTGTAACTCCATGGAGCAGGGGAGTCCTTCTTGAGAAGCTTAAAGCCATTAAACTGGTAAATAGATTCCGCGTGTTAGCAAAAGCCCCGCCACTGACTCCTTCAATGTACCAGAACGATCCGAAAAAAACAGGAACATTTCGATGAATCTAAATATTTCCGACGCTCCTGTGTTCTTATAAACATGGCAATTACGAACTTTGGATGTTCTCCATCGCCATAAAGTCTTTCTCTGCTATTTAGGAACCTTCCTCCCCTGCTACCTGTTTTTTTTCCCCCCCCCCCAAACCCCTAAATGCGGAATTTTAAAACCCCATGACAATAATTATTATGTTCAACAAGTACGTATGTACGATCTGAGGTTTTCACATCGGTGAGTCCGAAGATGGTATTGTCTTCTGGGTTGTTGCGCCGTGCAGTCCGGTAGAACCCAGAAGAATAATCTTTCCCTGCACAGTTAGAGTCTGGCAACTGAAGACGGCATAAAGTAGAATCTTAAACGAAATGACGATTCCGAATAGTGATATGGAAACAAGACGTGATTGTGGCTTACCCCAAATAACTACACCGCCTGAAGAAACCGAGGACAAAACTGGAAACCTCAATCTGAACAGCAGCTCGAGACGTCAGGAATACTTAGCAGAGGTTCTAACCAGCAACTGAACGTAAGGTCTCATAGCAGTAACTACAGCGTTTCTTAGCCCCGGCCTATTTAAAGATCACACAAAGAAACACAGAGTACCCCGCAAAGCCTTAATTTACACACATACAATACCTGATCTGGCACGATTATCATCTTTAATGATTCGTAGCGATCCCTGAATAGTGTTTGGTACAGCTAGACTGCCAACAGAAATACACCGCATATTCCAGTGACCTCTCCACTACAGAGTTTCTAAACAGAACCCGAAGGTTCTGAATACAATTTAGAGCAAACTTTCAAAACCGTTATGGCCATGAAAAGTATTTTTTTTTTCATGTGAGGGGAAAACGCCGAGCAAAACCTTTAACTACCGGCCTGTGGTTTAGCAGCCGCGGTCATGCGTCTTAAACAGTAAGACAAAGAGATTCCTTGCTTACAGAAAGGATTTATGTCATCAATGAAAAGCGGAAAGAACACGTAAGCATCTGGGTTTAAAAATAATCAAAACAGGCCTGTCTCCAACACAAGCAAAGCCACCACCAAATATCGGTGGCTTATCTATAGAAATTTTAATGACATAGATGACATGTTAAATGATCAGCTTCTGTAACGTAAGATACTAAACTGATGCTCTGCTCAGATAATCAAGATCAAGGTTAATAGCGTATGCAAGATCACAAGGAACGAGCGGGGAAATATTTTCCGATGATGGACCGACCACTTATCCACTCTCGTCACTGCAACGAATGAGGCCACCGCGGCCCTGTAACATTCTTCCCACAAGTTAGCCGAATAGGAAACGCCATGTTCTGATAAATTTATCTTCCAGCATATTGGTCTTCTGGAATGTAACATCGTGTGGAGTTGCAGATGGGCCGAAGACGGAGGTCAGACGTTCCTCAGAAACTTCGTCATTCACCCAAAAGTTATGAATAATCCTTTAATTTATTTATTTATTTAGTGTTCTGTCTGACGACAGGTCCATATGAACAGGATCCTTCCATCCTTTTCTCGGACTGGGACCTGTTCATATACGTTCTTGGCAGATGATCCAAAAGTGGTTTGCCATTGCCTTCTTCTGTGTGTGAATGGAGTAATTGTTGGGAGGCCACGGAGGAAAACTCCGTGTTGCCTAGACCACGGCCTTGCCCAACACAAGTTATAAATTCGGGCACCGCCGGGAATCGAACCCGAGACCCCAGGATTACAATCCTTTAATAAAACTGAAAAATTCTAGCAAAATATTCAGTGACGACCGATATGTTCTGTTAACACTTTACAGCCTAGATACCTTCAGGGCCTTCGAACTGCTGTTTAACTTGAATGTTTGCCAAGCAGCACTCCATCTGAGAACTTAATGTAGTCATGCGTGGGATATGTCATGTTTTACAAGACCTGAAACCAACTGAAAAGCACTAAGAGACTGGTTTCTTTCACTTCCTTGTAGGTTCATCTGTTTGGGTGTCGAAAATGTGCAAAAAGAGACTATGCGTCTTCCATCGCAAATTAGCAACACCAGATGACATCCTCCTCGACATAAAGGTATGGTCGATCTCTCTGTCTTTCTTCTTTTGTCTTCAGTATTAAGCTTCCACTCCGAGAAGATATGAGGGTAAGGTCAGAGGGTGCGGGGTGAGAGAAGGGGCACCTAGAACGCGATCTATTCTAGGTCAGACATCTCGTGAGCTACTGAGACTCCACAATCGATACGAACAGCCAGGTCCCTGCTGGCACGCCGGTCGCCCAAAATACTGTGCAATCCTGAAACCGACCACCAGCCCTCAGGAACAGCTTCATCCATCCATCTGTCCCCGCTGCCTGCGGGTAATCGAAGCGACTACAGACTGTCTAGAAATGCAGTTACCGTTCGAGTATTATAAAATTTACATTTTAATTGAACCACGAAACACGAGAGACCGTTATCAGCCTATTAATAAGATTTTGCTCATCACACAGGTAGACGAAAAATATGGTGTAGCAGATAAATATCCGATGCAAACCGTAAAAGAAGACATAATTCAAAAGACTAAGTAACTAGCTATCCAACTACATGAAGCAATTCAAACACCTTCGAGGAATTAATTACACAACCAATCACGTAATTCGTCGAAAATTATAGAAAAAATTTTATTCGAAAGCCCCGTTACCGACTAAACGACCGTAAAATCTCTGGGGAGACCGTACAAACGTTGGAATAAGACCGTAAGACTAAGAAGACGATTATAATGACGGTTTTTTTAAAGTCAACACTTACTTTTTCGAAGTCCTCTTCAAGTCGCACGACCTTCTCCAGCTGCAAGAACAATTCTTCTTCTTTTTCATGAAGCTCCAGTTCTTTAGTCTCCAGTTTCCTTTCCAGTTCCTGGCGGGCCTTGGTCAGTCCGTCCCGTTCGGCCTGCAACCATCATCCCTTTTCCTTAGTAACGTCCAGCGAACGTACCTTACAGACATCAGCGAAAGACTAAATCAAGAGATGGCGGTGAGGGGTGGGATTATAGATACATGGGGGGTTAACGAGGAGAAATAACAGGGCTAGAAGATGTAGAATGATATTCTAAGAAACAGAGTAACACAAGTGTAATTTCGATATCGATATTAACACGTCGAACCGATCACACAAGAATTGAGATATTACAAGCGAAGCTTATATTTTATTTTATGTTGTCAACGTCTTTCGGAGTCTAAAATTTTTGTATATAAGACCTTTGTGGTTAGATTTTATTCCGGAGGTCCCGGGCACAGAATTCGGCCATCCTGACTGAAGTTTCTCGTGACTTTCCCCCAGCCCCTTTAAGCAAATGCCTACATCATATCTTAAAATTACGCCACGACCGCATTTTTCTAGGGGCTCTCAACGACATTAATAAGTATATATTGTTTAAATCTTGTCCGTCTAATCACAATAAATTCTTATTAAATATTAAAATATTACATTAATTAACATTTAAAATATTTAAAATATTAAATGATGTTCTTTATCGAAATATTCGATTTACATTAGACCATCATTTTTCACGACATGTTTCAGTTCCTAAAAGAACTATCTTCAGGTGTAT